AAACAGTAGGCAAACAACTCACTGCTGCAAAACAGGACAAAAAATGGAAAAAATAGAAAGCACTGAAAGCTGCCTCTGCATCCAGCATGGAAGACTAAGCACCAAACATAGGAAGAAAGGCAGCTGCTACACTCCACGGTGCCGGTCCACAACCAAGGTGATTCTGCCCACCAGGGACACTGGGCAACATCCAGGATATTTTGGCTGTCGTGCCTGGGGAAGATGCTGCTTGTATCTCACAGGGAGGGACTAGGAGAGACACTAAGTATCTTACAATGGACAGGACAGCAAAGGATTGTCTGGCCCTACTATCTGGGAGAAAACTTGACACAAAACAAAGAAAAAGTATTTCTCGTCTTGTGTGTGTCTTAATAAAAATAACAAACTGCTGTCCAGACAGCTAATCAGAAATAGAATCAAGACACTTGTCCCTACAATTTAGACTCAACCCTTCTCACTCATGCTCAAAGGCAGCAAAAACACTACATTCATTCAAACTTAGTTCAGGCTTAACATTCTAGAACTCAAGAGCAGACATAGTAACAGGGCTGCACGACGTGTAGCTCACCATCAGCCAAGAACAATATATGCACCCGGAGAAGGGCAGCCATCCACTGCTGGAGCAAACAATGCTTTTCTCTTAGTTTTAAAATTATTTTTTAATTTAGGAGGCTGAGGGAGGAGGGTCACTGGGAGTTCAAAGCTAGCCTGAACTACATAATGAGACCCAGTATCAAAAAAAAAAAAAAAAAAAGGAAAGAAAGAAAGAAAATATTCAATCATGGATGATAAAAGGTATATAATTTCTTCAAGAGGAAAAAGTTTCTTCCACAAATACTAGTTCATCTTAAGCAGCCACAACGTGGATACCACATCTCGGTTTTGGAAAGCTAGATGCAGTGTGGAGGAGGGGCATTTTGTACCTCGGTCACATCTAATGTACTACCCAATGAAGATGGAGACCCACGGCCAGCTTACGTTAACACACAGGTTCCTTGCTCTAACCTATGTTTATAAGTTATGTGGCTGATACCCAAAGACAAAGGTATTTGCATATGTACTTAATACAAGTTGTAAAGAGTTATTGCTTTTCACTTTTTCCTCCCAATCTTCTGGGACATTTTCTTCACTAGTCCAAATGGAATGGAAATTATAATTCTTGGTAAATAAAATGTATATACTTTAAAGTCCTGCTTTGTAATTCTTTTTCTGATTTATTAGGAAGTTCCTGATCAGAGCATCAAAACTGACATAGTATTCCTTCAGGAATCTCAGGATGATTGGGCTCTAACATTATTTAGCAATTAACAGAAGAACTGTATGTTTTAACTATGAATTGTACGACATATCTCAATAAAGCCACTTTTAAAAGCTAATGGAGTTTCCATTTTCCTGTCTCATTAGTTTCATTAATTTACTCAACATGTCTAGGAAAATGAGTGTCTCAGAGGGCCAAAAGTTGCAAGACATGGGAGACATGTATGTAATCCCAGCATTTGGGAAGCTGAGGCAAGAGGATCACCACAAATTTGACACCAGCCTGAGCTCCTGAGACCCTGTCTCAAAAAAATAAAAAATTAAAAAATTAAACTGTCTCATATTTGCAAAATCAATTTGGAGGACTACATTTATAATCAAGCCCTGTGATGCCCCCTGCCCACTAAAAGTCTTTTGCTAACCAAGTAACAGTCTAAAAAAGTAGTTTGAGTCATTGAGCAAGTTATGCTTTTGAAAAGAACAAATAGATCTCTACCCTCCCTAGCACGGAGAACTACAAAAGACCTAACAAAAGATTTCCAGAACAAACATTACTCAAAAAACCAAGACCAACCATAGCAGAAATTCTTACTTGAATAAACAACAGAGATAGCAGCAGAGAACAAACGGCTAAAAACTATTGTATGGCTCAACACACGTAACCAATAGTTCTCAGTTTATATAAACTTAGATTTTAAAATCCTGGCCAGGGCTCACCCTATGAACTGAATGAAGGACTTCCTGCTTGTCAAGAGAGGTCACTTCTGAAGCAAGCTAAGAATGCAAATACCTATGGAACATTGATATGAATACAAAATGTTGTGTTTCTTTTTCTAATTATTTTTAAGTGGAAAATTATTTCCCATTTAAATGATACTCCTCTGAACATAGAAGACATTCAACTATTATTTTCAGGCTGAAATGTTTTCTATGGGAACATATCAACTTTTTCCTAAGGTCAGTGAAAAAGTTAGATCTAAGTTGTAGAAAATTAGTTATAACTTCTCCATTTGGTGGTTGTTGTTGTTGTTGTTGTTTGAGACAGAATGTCACTATCCCATTCTGACTGTCCTCAGAGTCACAGCAATCCTCCTGCCTCAGCCTCCTAAGTGCTGGGATAGCAAGTATGCACCACCACATTTAATTCGTAATATGGTACCTAAGTCCATAGAGTGATTTTCAAAATGACACATAGGAAAAAAAAGTTTTACCAAGCTTTCTTCTTGCATCTTCTACTTAATATACTTCAATTAATCTTCTAACTCAATGCATTATTATAATAGAAATACAAGAAAATTCTTTCTTGTTTTTTACAAGCAAATGCTTAGGTAACCATGTTGGATAAAATATGTAAATAATGTTAATGCAAAATGAGCTGTCTTTTCACTTGAGAACAGGACAATGGATATGAGAAGGGGCCATCACAAAATAAGTACAAGAAAACACTTGAAAAATACAAAAACATTGACTTTTTCCTGTTCTAATTTCAGAGGGAAAGGGGTTAATTGATAATCCATTTAACTTTGTTTTTAATTAGTGATAAGCAAAATTATCAAAAGTACCATCCCAAGGGAGAACACAACACTGTAGTAGCTATTGGCTATTAACTCTGAAGTGATTGTTTACTTTTAATTTACAAACACAATTTACAGTAACTGTACCTATGCATCATAATTTAGGAAGGTTAGGGAAAAAAATTTCTAAATCAAGTATGTACAGAATCACATACACACGTTCATTTTTGTAGTATTGTTCACACACAAGATGTTTTTTCACACCTTATACCATTTATATACAAATATGTTTAATTTAGTACATACCACGAGTGGACCTGTGCATTTGGACGGTACTTGCAGATAACGTGGTTAACTTCAGCAGACATCTATGTTACACACATGGCCATCAAAGTAATCACGGCATGCTTTTGTGGCACCGAAAGAGGCCAAGCCTGTCGTGAAATGATTACTTCCAACAAAACCCTGCTTAAATTATTGTTTAGTTATATGGCACACAGCCAAAATAACATTATTATAAAGTTGCTGTTGCCTTTGACTCACCAATTTTCAACCTATTTGTAAACCAAGATAAGCACCATCAGTTACTATAAATAATTATGGATCTGGATTTTTGATGCACGCTTCCTCGACAAAATGATGCCATTGGATCCCAAATCTTGGGTGCTCCTTTGACAGAATACCCTCCCATGGCAGACAGGGCATGGCTTTCACGCCTCCATAGGAAGCTCAGGCTGCCTATGACTCTAGACTCCAGATGAATTTAGACTTCACACGTCAGGAGGACTTCTTTGTTGTTTTAGTATCAAATCACCATTTACCTTTTTCTAATTGTTTCCACTCTTACACCACAGAGAATCTCTTTACTCCCGAGAACTTGGGGGTTTTACAATTTTTGCCTAATTTATTAGGCAAAATGTTACCTCCTCTTATAATGTAAATTCCTAATTTCTTTGGGCTGGTGAAGTGTTTGGGTACATAAAGAGAAAAAAACAAAATGAACACTCTCCTTCAAAGACTGTTTCACTGGCCACAAAAGAAAATTTTGCTGATTATAACCACTGAGAACATGATAGTGAAAACAATTTCCTAAAGGAAAGAGCTCCAGGGATCTTGTAGCTTTAACTGATCATTTTTGCCCCTCTCTCCTGCAAAAGACACCTGTGAAATTAGAACTCTGTACTCCAAATATGTCAACATCAACGCTGAGACTTCTAGCCAGGAGCAGTTACTCCAGGGTGCGCAAAGCTGTGAAGACGGATTCGCTTAGGTGAACGCCCAGGGCCTACCCCTTCAGGATTAACTTCTGAGCGACAGGACTAAGAGGCGACACTTAGCAGCCGGAACCGGACTTCTCAGCCAGCCAGCTAGCTCTATCGGTGGAAGGCGCGGCTTCCTTTCACCAGACTCAGCCGCCTCGTTATCTAAAATACCTTAGTGATTTAAAAGTAAAGGAGAAAGAGAAACAAAACAACGAAACGCCCAGGTTTCGGATCTCCGGTAGGAGGTTAAACTGCCCCGGGAGCAAAACAGGCGCGCAGGCGCATCCTCAGGTTGTCAGGAACACGCGGCAGTACTCATCAGTGCTGAGGAAGTGGATCCTCCAAGCTCCGCAGCCTTTTTGTTCGGGTTTTTAACGCAGTTGCGTTTTCAGGGACTGCAAACCGGAGCAGCGCTATTACCGAACCGCTTTGAGAGACGTTTACTTTAAATGTGGGGCTCAAACCAGTTCGCTTCGGGAAAAGGGAAATTATTTTCGGTGCAAATGTCATACTACTCAATCACACACCCAGAGAACACAATCGCAACGGTCCAATGCATGTGCCTCAAGGTATGCACTAGTTTACGTCCCAAGAAAGCTATCGAGAAAAAATTCTCTCCAACAAAGCGGAGCGGAACCGTGCCTTATACACCGGGGTAGGGTGCAGCCTGCACTCAATCTTGCGCCTCCGTGGGAACCGCGGGGGGCCTAGGCGCTCGGATAGGAAGCCGAGGGCAGTTTTGGTCTCGGTCTCAAGATCGCGGATTGCTGCAAGCTGGGGGTGCTTGGAGTCACCTTTGCGACGTGAAGCTCGCTTTACCAAGGAATCGGTTACCCCCGCCCGGCCCGTCCGCGGCTCTCTCCTGCCCAGCGCGCACAGGCGCAGCCCCCGCCTCGCGGTGACAGCCCCGAGACAAAGCCTGGACCCGAGCCCCGGGCTGCAGCCCCCCGGCGCGCCCCGCGCCTACCTTGATGCCCTGCTGCTGTGTGGTAAGGGTCAGCTTGGATTCATCCAGGAGCAAAACTTCGCAGTAAAATTCTTCCGGCACAGCGCAGAAACAGCCCATGTCGGCGGAGACCGCTCCTGAGCGGCCGTGAGAATCAGCGTCCAAGCCGCCGAGCCGCCCCCTCCCCAGGCGCGAAGCTTTAACGCGCGGTCCGGGCCGCGGCGGGGGCGACGG